AAAATTGCACTGTGATTACAGAAAATTGCACTGTGATTACAGAAAATTGCACTGCTGTTTGGGATTAACTGCACTGAAATCAACCAATCACAGTCGAGTAATATCTTTATGTATATTATTATATAGATAATGATCCCGTTGCATAATTATCAGTTATAGACCTGAAACGAGGGGTATTCCACAAAAAATTACCCTGAGGGATGAATGGTATATTATACCGAACCTTTCAAAAATAAGTAGAAAACAAATACCATTCAATTAACTTTTAATTTCAAAACACAACTTTTGATAACTTTACATTTAAAAAAGTCTAATTTCCCGCTCAAGCGTGGTATTCGAAGTCGAATACCATGGCCCCGGGCATGGGCGTACCGGAAGGAAAAAATTAGGGGGGCGGAAAGAAAATTGCCCGACACTTCGGGATTCTGCCCGACTAGTACCAAAAAAATTTTTCCAGAAAAATTATTTTTGGCGACCTCCCCCCCCCCTGGGCCAAAAACATTTCGGTCAGTGTACCATTTTAGGGGTCAAAAAAATTTTCCCGACAACCAATTTTTTCGGAGCATAACACAAATTTTCGAAAAATCACAAAATTTCGCAAAAAATAACTTAATTTTAAACACAATTGACAGAATTTGTCCCATTTTTTTTTTATTGCAAACCAAAATTGCCCGACTGTTGATCGAATATTGCCCGACTGCCGAAAAAACTGGGGGGGGGCTGCCGCCCCCCCGCCCTCCCCCCCGCCCGGTACGCCTATGGCCCCGGGTAAAACACCCAGGGTTCAAATTGCCTAGGTCATAGTATTCGCTGAAAAATACCATGGTCATGTGGTACAAATTTAGTTCTCTGATTGGACAAGCTCATTGTGAGGTATAATATTCACATATAACAATAATGTGATCACGATCCAGTGATCGGAATATTCCATTGTCTTTTCATTGTTTTGAAAATCTCACTGTTCTCCATGCCATCCAGTCATGATCCAGTGATCAGAATGTTCCATTGTCTTTTCATTGTTTTGAAAATCCCACTGTTCTTCATGCCTTCCAGTCATGATCCAGTGATCAGAATGTTCCATTGTCTTTTCATTGTTTTGAAAATCTCACTGTTCTCCATACCATCCAGTCTTCATTGTTTTGAAAATCTCACTGTTCTCCATGCCATCCAGTCACGATCAGTTATCAGAATATTTCATTGTCTTTTTTTCATTGTTTTAAAAATCTCAATGTTTTCCATGCCATCCTGTCACGATCCAGTGATTGGAATATTCCATTGTCTTTTCATTGTTTTGAAAAAATCTTTTTTAGTTGTTTTCTTTAATGAATGACATAATGCAAGAAGATCCCGCTTGTCATCAAAGAAATTTGAGTTTAAAAACTTACAAAGTTATTCCAATGACCTCAAGGTAATTTCGGTTTTGGAAAGAATTCTATTCTCACTTTGATAACTCTAGATTGACCACCATCTGCTGCACGATAGTGCTTAGTGAAATACATGTATACAGCGGTATTACTAAATAAACTTTGTTTATGGTAGTCGCTTTTATCTTTGTAGAATCGGCGTCATTGAATGGCTGGAGAATACATCAGTGTTAAAAGAATTTATTCTAAATGGTTTATCAGAAACTGAAAATAAAACCTATCAGTAAGTCTATCATTCTTGAGAGAAACTTGAAGTTGAATGTTCATTGATAACTCGTATGCTTCCCTTCTTTAGCACTATCAACGATAAACAGAACAGATGGATCCTTTCATTTCCAGCAAACAAGAAAGACAGCAGTATAATGCTCAATTATTATTCTATGTTTAAGTAAGTGGTTATTGTTTTGTGGTTGCACACTTGTTAGCGCATATGTCGTTCAGCTCTGACACTTGGATTCTATTCCTGCAATCTGCATTTGTCTGATTATAATTTCGTCTCAATCGAGTGTGTGAAATGAGTGTTTCCAATTTGAGTCTACCAATGGTTTTCTTTGGGTACTGCGGTTCATGGATCAATAAATGAGGCCCTTACTAGACGTCTACGGAGAGCAGTTTAGGGCTATCCAGTATAAATAAAGTTAGTTTAGTTTAGTTTAGGTTCCCTTCTGTAGTAAGTAACACGGGATTAAAGGGATGATCCTTACTGGACCTCAAGGGACTGACAGAGCTATCCAATATACATAAAGTTAGTTTATATTTTCTCCTGTGGAATGAATACCTGATGTTCGTGGAAAGAACAGTTCAGAACTGATAAAGCTATCTAGCCCTGATAAATAAATATAGAGCTGGGAAAATAAAATCTACTTTTTTCTATTTTAGAAAAGCGCCAAGAAAGGACGTTGAACGCAGATTTAGAGAATTTCAAAATTTAATTCCACATGATGCACTCAGGTAGGAAAATATATATACAAAATTTAAGCATTTAATTAAAGTGATTTGAATAATTTTGGACAACGATGCAATACCAGTAGCCGATGCAACACCAGTAGCCGATGCAATACTAGTAGGCTCCGCGGTTACTGAGCACGCCATTAAAAATCTGTCTAATGATAAACGACTTGGTTCAGAAACAAGCCAGCTTTTATTAAAATGGCATCAAGACAACAATATCGTTTTGACCTCTTTTGTGTTCTGCTCCTGAAACAGTAACAGTAATAGAAACGTCTTCATTTCTTACAGACGTAGTTTCATACAGCTTGCGTCCTCGCCCGAGGCATTTCTAATGCTTCGTTCTCATTTCGCGCGAACATATGGTTGTATGTCCATATGTCATTATGTCTTGGGTATTGGTGATCGACATCTGTCCAACATGATGGTAGATTTGGAATGTGGTGGTGTAGTTGGCATTGATTTCGGACATGCATTTGGTTCTGCCACTCAGGTAAATTAAGAATTTTTGTTACCTTCTAACGTGCCTAGGTAAGTAAGTAGGTACCAACCAATCTACCTGCCAACCAATTTACCTAACTAAACCCCACCAACCGACCTACCTTCCTACCTACCCAATTGGCAATTACCTACCTAATATTTTCAACTTTATCATATTTTCAACTTTTTCAGTTTTTTGGTTAACTTCAGCAAACACTGTCTGTAACTCACTGTCTTTGTATATTTTCTCAAACCAACTTTAGTTTTTACCTTTGCCTGAACTCATGCCATTTCGCCTTACTCGTCAAATCTGTGATCTCATGGTCCCTTTGCGAGAGAGTGGACAATTGCAAAGCACCATGGTTTTTACAATGCGAGCGTTGAGGAACAACCACGAAATCTTGCTTAATACGATGGATGTGTTCATAAAAGAACCATTACTGGATTGGCAGGTTAGTAACATGGTTATTAAAATAAATAGCAAGTTTTATACTAAGAGAACTCTTGTCTTAACTGCTCTTCCTAGATTTCTAGTAGGGGTGACTCGTTTTTGGCCCAGTGTTACTACTGGATGAACGCTGAATATTTAGTAACTTATTTACATGTATACTGGATCCAGTAAGAATCATCTCTTATTGATCCAGTGTTAGTACAGGAGGAAACCTAAAATGGATGGATAGCTCTATCAGTTCTAAACTGTTCTCCCTAGAGGATATTTTAATCCTTCATTAAACATTTACAGAATTTTGCAAGAAAGCAAGCCGAAAAGCAGAAATTAAATCTTGGTAAGATTTCGTAAAAGTGGCACAAAATACTAGATTCTACAAAATCTTTGATTCTACAAAAATTTAAATAATGATTTCCTGTGAAAGCGCATATAGCTTTTTATATGGCTTAGTAAAATTGGAATTTTTGTGCCCAACAGACGATATGACAGACCAGGCGTGGTATCCAAAGGAGAAAATCAAGTCTGCAAAACGGAAATTGAAAGGAGATAATCCTGCAGAGATCATGAAGTAAGGACTTGCACTTTTTGTCGTAGAGTTTTCAGCCTGGGCGAGTTTCAGGCCGGCCTATTAGGATAAAATCTCATTGAAACACAACAAGCGATTACATGACTAGCCTGCGTGGCAGGCTCAGGCTATTACATGACAGAAATTTCCAGCCCAGGATGAGTTTCAGCCCGGTTGAGCTACCCGGGCTGAAAATTTCATCCCGGTTGAACGGGCTGAAAATCGTCATGTAATCGACTGGAAATTGCAACCTGGGTTGAAAAAAAAAACATTTAACAACATTTAGAATTCTTCGAAGAAGCGAAATAGTTCCATTTTGAGACTTGATCGTTTCAGCCCAGTTTGAACTGAAAATCTATTAACTCGTCCCGGGCTGAAATTTGCCATGTAATCGTGAAACAATTTCAGCTCAGTTAACCGGGTTGATGTTCAGCCCGGGTTGAAAACTCCCCACGTAATCGACCCCTAAGACTGACAATGCACTCTGTAGTGCTACTAAAAAATCCTAAAATATCTGTATTCGCAGGCTTGATCTAACATTAGGACACGAGAAAGCCGAGCACTATAAAGCGATGCTATCAGTTCTACTGGGAGACGAGCAGTGCAATCAACGTGCAAAACCTTATGACGGTACTGTTGAAAATCAAGTTGCATGCCTGATTGATCAGGCTACTGACCCGAACCTTTTAGGAAGAACTTACCATGGTTGGGAGCCTTGGGTATGAGATTAGCATTTGTTAAATATCTGGCGTTTACACCAAAATAGTGCTGACCAAAGACTAAATAACAAAAAAGTCGTCTACGCAAGAAATGGTGCAATAGACCTTACCGATTATTCTCTTTTACCCAATACACCCTTTTCATAAATGGCTGCCGATTAAAAATTCTTTTATGTGCATATAAATTGGCCCAACTAGCCTCGTTTCTGGGTAGAAATTCCTTTGAAATCTTAACATGAGTACGAG